TATTTATTTATTTATTTATTTATTTATTTATTTATTTATTTATTTATGTATTTATTTATTTATTTATTTAATTATTTATTTATTTATACATGTGTTTTTTGAGTAAGAGCAAGACTGAGAAAAAAGTTTGTGGAGAAATAGTTCGAGATAAATAAATTAAAACATAGAACGCAGTATGGATATAATGATGGAGGAATAGATTAAGCTTTACGAAGAGATTGTTAGTGTATATGATAAAGTTAGTGGATAATGATATAAAGAGATATACTTGGAGGGAGGTAGAGAGAGAAGGAATGACTGGGAAACAAAGAGATTCTAGAACAGTGAGATTGAGATGGCAAAAATGATCAGCCAGCGGAATATGGCGAGACAGAGTGAAAATAGGAGTTTGAGAAATATTCGGGAGTTTGGAAAGTATTTGACAATGAGGATAAAGAGGAGACAGAAGAAAAGTAATTGTAGAGCTGCGGACTGAGGAATATTTGGCGAAACATGTATAGACAAAGATGGATAGAAAGATGGATGTCTCAGAAGCTACGGGAGTTGGTAGATGCAGACCGATTGAAATGCTCCAAGAGAGATTTAGGCCAATAGTGATTGATATAGGGACATCAAAGAAGGTGTCGATATGAAAATAGGAACTTTTACATCGAGTTGGAATGTACAGTGTGGGTGTGTATAAATATCACGGAGTGGAGGGTGCGATGCAAAAGAAGGAAAGGAGTGAGGTAGTGAGGTAGTGAGGTAGTGAGATGAAGTTGTATACACGAAGGGTTGCGGATTGTAAAGAAGAGAAAGCTGGAGTGGGGCAGAAGAGGCCGAGTCTTTTTTGGGTGGACAAGAGTCTCATTTTGCATGTCGTCCTCGATCAGCTCGAAGGTGGCAACCGCGAGGGGGTCTTCGGATGGGGCCTGAGCTCGACAGTTTGTGATAAATAATGTTAATTGTCTCGCTTGACAGGTCATTTTCAACAGACAAGCAAAGTTGGCGCAATACGAATACTTGGCGGATGAGTCGGTCGGACGAATGTTGTTCAACATGACCACGTATGGAGTCCGCGAGATACACGACTTCAATTTGGGTAAGCCAGTTGAAATCATATTGCTTAAATCCACGCAAAATGATCCATTAAAAGGCAATTTTCCCATTTGCTCAGGTGTATTTTACTACATCAACAAGGCGCTAGGGAAATGCTTGATATCAGCAACTCCGAAATCCATACAAGACGACATAATGAAGAGCGAAACAGGGGTGAAAATGGTAGAAAGTCCATACTTTTATGAGACAAGGATGACCGGAGAGGTGAACTTGGGGAGCGTAAGTCAAAAATAATGGTAAAAAATTAAAAGAGCATATAATACATTCAGTAGAGGGGAAAAAAGATAAAGTGAGAGATGAATAGAAGGAAGAAGAGATGAGATGAGCTGAGATAAATTGATATGAATTTAGTTGAGATATCCTGAGCTGAGATGTGAATCGCTGAAATAATATGAGCGAATTTAAATGCCATCATAATTGATGTGATCCGATGAGTTTTGATCAGATGTGTTGATTTTGACAATTGATAACATGTGATTTAATGGAATCCAATGGCATTAAATGAGATAAAATAACAATATATGAGACGAGTTGCTATTAGATGAGATGAAATGAAATGTGATGAAATTAGTTGAGATGAGCCGAGATGAGATCCAATTAGATGAGTTCTGTTAGGATCAAATTATTTGAAATTAGATCCGCCCAGATCAGATGGAATAGGATGAATTAAGATTATATGTATCAAGTTGAGATGACTTGAGATGAAATACTTTGAGTTAAGATGAAATGAGATGAGATGAGATGATATTTGATGATCTGAAATTTGATCTGCTCAATTCAGATGAGATCAAATTACTCGAGATTAGATTATCTTATTTGAGATGAGATATTTTGAGATAAAGGAAGATGTAATGAGATTAGTTGAGATAAGATGAGATGAGATGAAATGATATTAGATGAAATAAGTTTATTTGTGATGTAATTATATGAGATGAGATGAGTTCAGAGAAGTTAAGATGAGATGATATTAATGAAATAGATATCTTGAGCTGAGATGTGAATCGCTGAAATAATATAAGCGAATTTAAATGCAGTCATAATTGATGTGATGTGATGAGTTTTGATCAGATGTGTGGATTTTGACAATTGATGACATGTGATTTGATGAAATCCGATAGCATCAAATAAGATAAAATAACAAAATATGAGATGATTTGCTATCAGATGAGATTAAATTGAAGGAAATTTAATGTGATGAAATGAGTTGATATAAAAACGAGATGAGATCCAATTAGATGAATTCTGTTAAGATTAAATTATTTGAAATTAGATCGTCCCAGATCAGATGAAATCAGATGAGCTCGGATTATTTCTATTGGGGTGAGGTGAGATGAAATGAGATGAGATGACATTAAATGATATTTGATGATCAGAAATTTGATCTGCTCAGATCAGATGAGATCAGATTACTCAAGATCAGATGATCCCATTTAAGATGTGATATTTTAAGATGAAGGGAGATGTAATGAGATTAGTTGAGATGAGAAGAGAAGAGAAGAGAAGAGATGAGATGAGATGAAGATGAGAAGAGATGAGATGAGATGAGATGAGATGAGATGAATGAGATTACCGTTGATGAGATAATGAGTGATTCGCTATAATGATATGATACCATTTGATTTCATAAGTTTGGTTGAGATGAACTTTGATTAGTTTTTATGTAATTAGTTAGTATAAATTCATACTTATTGAGGTAAAATCGGTAGAAGTCTGATGCGAGTATTTGATATTTTATGAGATTATATGAGATGATATGAGATGAGGTATTATATATCAGATTTGATGGGATTATTTCATTAAGACTATGACTTTTTGGCATTAATTCAAAGCACATTTGATGGGCTTAGTTGCGATGAAAATTGATGCAATTATCTCAAATGAAATGTTACTTGGTGATTCTAATTTATTTGTGATGAGATGAACTGAATTCATCTGTGCCGGTTCAATATGAGATGGGATTAAATGATAATAAATTTGAAGTAATGTAATGACGTGAAATTAGATAAAATGAGAGTAGTACAGATGACTTTAGAAGAGATGATTAATATGGGTTGAGATTTGATAGTTTTAATGTGATGATAATAAATTAGATTCTTTTTAATTATTTTATTATATTACAATTTCTCTTCATCTTTGCATTATTTTGCTTTCGGCCATATTGACCCATTTCATCGCCCCTTTTCTGCACGTTTCGCGGTATTCCGTCTGCTGTTCTATTTCTCGTAGATTTCTCAATCTTTTTCATCACTCAAATTAGCAAACAGAAATTTTTTTTTCTTCTGCATCTTCGGACGCTCAAATGCATGCTCTACATTCATGACACTTCAGCGTATTGGC